ATTTTGATCCAGTTGTCTCTCTACCCACCCCCCACTATTTTCTGTAAAATATTAGCATTTTGAATAAAATATTCAGAAAAGTTTTAAAATTCTACCCTGTACAATGTACCCTATTCATTGTATATCCCTATTTACAAAGTCTAGATGAGTACATGGTATATCGTAGGCATTTAAAAATGTCTGATTGAACACATGCATATGAAATGTTGTTAAATACATCATGTTTTTAATTGATCTAAATCCCTCTTTACTTTATTTTTTAAAATTTTAAATAAAAAAATTTTTAGAGAAGCTTATGCTGCAGGGTGCATGCACTTGCTGGAGAGACAGAAGTGAGAAATCACCGCCTGGGGGATGGCCACACTGCAATCCCTTCTCCTTCAGTATCCTCGTGGGATTTTGGGCTCATGTGCATGCATGCACATGAGTCCAATGTGTTTTAAGCCTCCGGGTCCAGGACTTGAACAGCAGTCTACTAAGTGGAAGTCCAGTGATGTAACCACTATGCCATCTTCTGGTCTCCTAGATCTCAAGCCTTTCTCTATTTATTTTGTTTTTGCTTTGGGCACATGTGTTAGTTGGAAACAGAGACAAGGAAAGAGGGAAAGTGAGAAATCACCACCCATAGGAATGGCCATGCCACAATCCCTTCTCCTCTATTCTGTTTTTGGAGTTTGGGACATGTTAACACACACACACATCGGGTGTAATTTCAAGTTGCCAGTTCTGGGACGTAAACTGCTCAGTTGGCCATGTGAGATCCAGTCGGCTAACCTCCACGCCACCTGCTGGCCTTCTCAAGTCTTTTTTGTTTCCTTTTTTTTTTTTTTGGTATATGTTGCTTGTCCTTTGTGGTGACTCAAACTTAACATCAGTCTTGTGATATACCAGAGGACTATATTCTAAACCTCTTTTGTGAATATCATTTAAGTATTTTTTTTTCTCCCAAGCCTGGCTCAGGGATGAGAAAAATGGCCACAAAAATCTTCTGAACAAAAATTGCTGTTCCAAATATCCACTCCTGGCTCTCTACTGTACCCCAGGGGCTATATGTATACTCCTCTATCTAGAACATTACAAATAGAGAATAGAAGTCCAAATGAAGGTCTAGTATTTTGTCCCCACATAGTCTGGATTAGTGCTGGCTGAGCTAAGGGGTAAGAAGAACTGATGTGATCTGTCACTAATAGACCAGATCAATCTCATTATAAGCTTAGAAACCCACTGTTTCTTTCATTGCCATTTAAGACAAGCTGCCTACGTCCTCAACGTCCATTATTTCCCTTTGACCTTTCAACAGATATGCCCCTCTATGTGCTTAAAGACATTGATCAACCTTACCCAGAACATTTACACTCACCTCCCAAAAGGGAGCAGAGTAAACATGTAGGGCCCAGGATGGCAGGAGTAGAAAGGAAAACTCATGGAACCAGTACCGACACGGGATTGAGCAGAACCGGCTTGCGAATACCTTCAACTGCTACGTTAGTAAAACGCTTATCAATTAGTGGATATAGCGTGATCTGGATAGTTGCGATTGGTATTTCGAGGGCAATCTACTTAGAAAAGGCATTAAAGAAGTCAGGAACACTCTGGATCCTGATATGTAACGAGCATAAGAGGACAGTAAGTTTACTCTTAGTCAATAGACAATGGAAAAGCATCCCTTTATTAAAACCACCTTTGGGGGCAAAATATTTTTCTCTGTCAAAGAAACAGATGCTTGTGGGGCCAGCAGGTGGCATGGAGGTTAAGGCAACTGGACTTCAATACTGCTGATCACAGTTTGAGTCCTGGAACTGTGGCTTAAAAATCATGCTGGGAGCATGTGCATGTATGCCCAAAATACCAAGAGGAGAATGGATGAGAATGGATTGTGGCCATCCCTTTAGAAGCATGATTTCTCACTTTCCCTCTTCTTCTCTCTCTCTCTCTCTTTCTGTGCTTTATAGCAAAACTTTTAAAAAGGAAAAATAGAAAAGAAACAACTACTTGTAAACTAAGACTTAATATAATAATAATAATTACCAATTATGTGTGTCAGCTTATTCCATCACTAAAATATCAGTCTGTACGTCCACATTTCGCCACAATCTAGTGAATCTAGCAAGAGATCATCTATTAAAAGAGAGGGGAGCATCAAACCAGTTATTGCCACAATGTAGAAGAATCAACCACATAACTGTTTTTTCAAATATCTAGTTATTAATATTGTCTCTGTATGTGCAAACATATTTACCAAACATGTTTTATTCTACATTTCTTTTTTTGACAGGTTTTTCCTTCTTCGTTATTCTGTTTTCAAACAGCAAAATGTAAAATGTCATTTCTGTCTTTCTTATTTCAGTTTCCCATCAATATGTTTCTCTTTTCTCACCCACCTACCTGACTGTATTAATAATATAAAACAGATCTTAAAATAAGACCTTCATAAAATATGAATTAGTAGTAAAAGATAAGACTATATAGAAAACTCGGTTTGCTACTGAATTTCTAAGGGCCTTGTAGGAGCATGGGGATTGGGAAGGCAATTTAAAGAGAAAGAAAATTTAACTTTCCAGAGGGTACATGCACTCACCAAAGATGACAAAGAGGAGAGAGAAAGAGAACTCATCTCATCATGGCGTATGGTCATGTTGCAATCCCTTCTTCGCTATTTCTCGTTGGGATTTTGAGCATGCATGCACCTGTGTCTCTCAAGTTCCCAGCTCTGGGATTTGAACTGCACAGTTGGACATGTGGGATCCAGTCACCTTAACCAACACTAAATAGATTGGCTCCATTTTTTTTTTTAACGTGTCAGAGGGCATGTGCACTCACCAGAGAAACAGTGAAGCAGAGAGAGAAGGAGAGGGAGAAGGAGACGTCCAATGTGTTGTAATCATACTGCAATCCATTCCTCTCCATTTCTCCATCCTGTTGGGATTTTGGACATGCACACACATATGCCCAGTTTGTTTTTCAAGCTGTCAAGGCTGAGATTTGAATCAGGATTGATCATATGGAATCCAGCTCTTTCAACACGAGGCCACCGGGGCCAGATGGTCTAGATAATGTTTTTATTTTAATTTATATTACTCTGACAATTTTTCTCATGATCAACTGAAAACACAGACTCTTACAAAATGAGTGTTTAGCATGATGCAGTGGCTCAGGATTGAAACAATGCTATGGAATTAGAATTCACAGTGCAGACATCATCAGGAATCAGTGAAGACATTAACTAGTATTTAAAGTATATGTTATCCAAGTAATCTTCTCTAGTTTAGAAATCCCGAAACAAAACAAAGATCTCATACACAGATTCGTCAAAACAAAATTATCAATTAATAGTTGTGAGTTGTCTTTTAAATTTAGTCATCTTAGTCATCTGTTTAATTAATTATTATTTTATTTTTTATTTTTTTGAGAGAGGTTTTTGCTATAGGGCACATGCATTTGCCAGAGAGACAGAGAGATATAAAGAGAGAGAAAGTGAGAAATCACCTCCCATGGGGGATGGCAATGCCACAGTCTCTTGTCCTTCATTCTTCTCCTGGGATTTTGGGCATGCACACATATACCTGACATGAGTTTCAAGAAATTGGGTCTCAGACTCGAACTGTGGTCAGCCATGTGGGAGTCCAGTGCCTTAATCTCTACACCACCTACTGGTCACAAAGTAAAAACGTTTTTGATATTATGATAAAATTAATTAATTTGTGGGAAATTGATTGATTTAACTATTAATGAACTTTCAGAGAAAAGAAATATCAGTAAATGGAGGCCATATATTGCCAATATCATCCAGTCAATTGGTTGTTTAATATATTGAGTGCTGTAAATCATTGGAGTTTGCGTATTTCCCTTTGTTGGGAGTCTCCCAATCTGCACATTAGATCGGCTGAATCATGTACATAGTAAAATCTTACCTTCTACAAGTATCTAAAAGAATCCCCACATCTCTTCTTTGAGAATTAGCTGTGAAAGAAAAAGAAAGTGTCACACAAGATAAAGTATTTCCATAACACTTTCTTTAAAACATAGGAGTCTTTGAAGAAAGAGAGGATTTAGTTGGTAGATTAAAGCAATATAAATTGACCTGGCCACAAAATACCCTCTAGGTTATTTAGATGAGTCTCCTCAGCAGAGGAAGAATTGTGATTTAGAGGAAGACAGTAAAGTGCTAACAACAGAACTCAACTTCTAACTTACAGACCCATTTTGTTCCATATATGCCATCCTATTAACAATCACAGATACGTCAAGTTATCCTGTATTCCGACCCCAAAAGCTGAGAGTGGATGTAGTGGAGACCTGACACTGGGGCAAAGTATTCCTGCTTCATACATGCATAGCGTGCTACATTGGACACAATACAATAATGGATTTTGAAGTGAACCAAGAGTATGTATTCTCTTATGAGTGTAGACATTTCATTTGAATTAAGTAGCAAAGTAGAGAGGGTACAAGGGTGTCCAAAATGAACACTTACTTATTTAAATAGATAACACTTAAGGTTCAATAACTTAGATCAGCTATTTTAATACCAATGAAGCAGCTAAAAGTTTGCTGGCTGTTAGTAGATAATAGCTAAGGAGGCTTTTATTTTTGTCTCTGCTTTTAAATTATTAGCCATTATTGAACTCTTCTAGGGGAGAAATGATGAAGGCTGGAGGGCAGGCCACATTTAGAAAATCTCTGGAGTCAGAGATGGCAGACTTCTCTGGGGCTTGTGGAACCCAGAGATCCCCAGAGACAGCGTGGTTGAGTAGTTTGCTATTTAAAGTGCAGCCCAGAGATTTTCCAATTGCAGGCTGCAACTTGTCAGTGGAATATGAAATCAATTTGGTGGGTCACAAACAGCATTTCAAGCAAAACAAACAAAACATGAAAAGGCATCCTGTGGATTAGGGGAAGGCTGTTTTACAAACCTTTTGTTTCAGTGGTAAATATATGCATGGGTATACCAGGAGCAGGTTGTTGTGTGTTTCTTACAGCAAAAAGCCATCAAAAACGTTTGAGAAACACTGGTATAGCCATTTAATAAAATAGAAGTGGAGAATGGAAATATAAGGAGTTGAGTTAGACTGAAATTAATCTCTGAGTTGTCAGGAGATATCAAAGTGGAATTTTCCTCTCTTTTATACCAAACTAAGATGTAGAAAGCCAGGCTAATTCTCCTTAATTCATAGCATATCATCATTATTGTTTTTGAGGGGGTGTTTTTTGTTTGCCTGTTTAGTTTTTAATTGATAATTACATGGATTTATAGTGTACAAGGTGATGTTTTGATACATAAATAAATTTGTGGAATGATCCAATCAGGTTAATTAGCATATCTATCACAGTATCATTTCTTTATGGTGAGAATATTTAAAATCTTTTTTTAGCTATTTGAAATATACATGATTATCAATATAGTCACTATGCTGTGCAATAGAGTAGCAGAACTTATTCCTCTTATCTAAAACTTTATACCCCCTGACCAGTAAGCCCTCTTTTTGCATCTGCCCTTCCCCCACACCTGGTAACCACCATTCTACTTTCTACTTCTATGAGTTCAATGTTTTTAGATTTCACATGTAAGTGAGATCATACAGTATTCATTTTGGCTTATTTTACTACTTAACATTATGTCGTCTGGGTTTATGGATGTTATCACAAATCACAGAATTTACTAGTTTTTCATTTTTTGTTTCTGTTGGTTTATTTTTTTCAAAGCTGAATAGAATTATTGTTAGTAAATATGCCACATTTCAAAAAAATCTATTGATCTGTTGATGGACACATAGGTTGTTTCTACTTTGGAAATATTGCTGCAATAAATGTGAAAATATACTAACTTTAATTCTTTTTATTTTTTAGAGGTTTTTGCTATAGAGCACGTGTGCTCGCCAGACAGACAGAGACAGAGAGAAAGAAAGCGAGAAATCACCCCCCAGGGGGGATGGCCATGCTACAATCCCTTCTCCATTCTCCTCTCGGGATCTTGGGCATGCACGCACACGCGACCGGCGTGAGTTTAAGCCACCGGGTCTGGGACTCGAACCGTGGTCAGCTACGTGGGAGTCCAGCGACATAGCCATTATGCTAACTGCTGGTCCCCTAACTTTAATTCTTTAGGGTTTATGTTCACTTGAGGGGTTGGTGGATTATATGATCATTCTATTTTTGGTGTTTTGAAGACTCTCCATACAGTTTCTCAAAATGGCTATACTAATTCACAACACCACCAACAGTGTATAAGCATTCCTGTCCCCTCATGGCCTTGCTTATTACCATTCACCTTTTTGATAATAGACAATCTAACAGATTGAGGTGATATCTCATTGTGATTTCAATTTGCATTTCTCTGACAATTGAAATGTTGAGCATTTTAAAAACTATTTATTGGTTACTTATATACCTTCTTTGGAGAAATATTTGAGTCCCTTGTCCATCTTTACTAGGACTATTTATTTCCTTGTTGTTCAGTAGAGTCCCTTGTATATTTTGTACATTAACCCTTTATCTGAAGAATAATTTGCAGACATTCTCTACCACTCTGTAGGTTCTTCCTTCACTCTATTAATTTTTAAATTTAGTTTGTAGAAGCTTTTTAGTTTGATGCAATCTCACTTGTCTATTTTGTGCTTTCATTTGTTGTATAATACTTTAGGGGTCAAACCCAAAAAAATCACTGCTTAGACTGATATCATGAATGTTTTCCTTCTAATAGTTTTATAATTTTAGGTCTTACACTTAAGCATTTAATACATTTTGGATTAATTATTATATAAGAGGTAATATATGGCCCATTTTTATTCTCATGTATGTTGATATCTAGTTTCCCCAACACAATTTATTGAAGAGATTGTTCCTTCCCCATAGTGTGTTCTTAGCACCTTTGTCAAAAATCAGTTGACTGTAGATGCTCAATTTAATTCTGGGGGCTTCAATCCTATTACATTGGTTGATATTTTTTTTAATGCCAACACATCACTGTTTTGAAAAGTTTATCTTTATAATACATTTGGAAATTTAGTAGTACAATGCCACCAATTTTGTTCTTTTTAGTTAAAATGTG